CCTGTGTCTGCGTGGGCTGGGGCTGTGAGAGCAGGTGAGAAACCCTTGATGTGTTTGTCCTTACTTTTCTCTGGGAGATGCAGGAAAATGAGGCGAGAGAAAACCGCCGTGTCTGCCACTGTACCCCCACTTGAGATCGGGACTCAAGTGTCAGAGTGTGGGAGCCCCATGTCCAAAGGGGGGAATTCATAAACAAAGGGGGTGAAATTCATTAAAAAAAAAAAAAAGAGGGTAAATGAATCTTGATGGGATGACAAGGAAAAAAAGCAAAGCTGTTGAGAGCCCCTAAACGACCTCCACTCCTCAAAATGCCTTCAGAAGCGAAGGAATGAAGCTACGTCTGGTTGAGACCTGCTAGATATTTTACATCTGTGGATTTGGGAGGGATAATAAGTTCTTTTTTTTATTTAGCCCCTTATAGTTCTCCCTTCAGTCTGACTCTCAGGTACCTCAGGGTTCCTTCTGGATGAACCATGAAAGATAAGCATGAAGTTTTAGTGGAATTGGGCCCATTTTCCCATCTTCCTTGGGGCGTGACTGCCAGCTTTTTTTTCTTTTTTTTTTTGGCTTTTTTCTGTCAGGACCCAAAAAACCTTCATTCTAAGGGCAGGATTCGTTTGTTAAAAAATCAATCACTTGAATTTTGAGCTGAATCAGTCCTTCGCAGGGATCTCGCTTGCAAAATTTCAGGGAGAAAAAAAAAAAAAAAAACAAACCCACATGGCCGTTCTCCGGCGGTTGGTTCTGTTTTTCAGGTATATCTCCCCGAGGAAATTTGACAGCCCACGGTGAGAGAGAGTTTTTGCTGTCTGATCAGCAGATAAAGCATGTGATTACACACAGAGATCTGCTGCTGTAGAGGAGATTCTGCTACCCTGGCAGCAGAGTTTGCCTGCAGCAAAGCGAGTTGGACCATGGGCTGCGTTCTCGGGGAAAGTGTTTGCCATCTTTTATTTTCTCCTCCACACCCCCCCCCCCCCAAGTCGTTCTGCTTGTCTCTATTTTACTTTAATCCCTGTTACTTTTGCATCTGATTGTATTTTACAGGGGAAAAAAAAGAGGGGCAAACAAATTGAATTATAGGCAGCCAGGGGAGCTCAGGAGGATAAGAGGCTCTTCCAGCAGTGTTGGGGGGGGTGGTGATGAAGTGGTGAAGAATATCCACTCATTAATGAAATTATGATGATTCTGAAACGTCTGGTTTACTTAACTGCTTTGTAAATTGATCTTTAAACAGGGTGAGTTTATTAAAATATTTCAAAAAAAGGGGGAAGGAGCTGAAGCCCTGCTGGAGTAACAGCTGGAAATAACGTTGCTGTAGTTACTCATTAAAAAGTCGTAGATAGTTGGCAGTATTGGAACATGTTCAGTAGTTCCACGTTTTGCAATATTTGTTTTGGTTTTTTTTTAATGGAAAATTCCAAGTTCCTGCAAGTTGTTCTAAATACATAAAAGCCACTCCAGGTTTAAACACATAAAAGCATTATTTCTAGATCTGATGGTTTTGTATAAAAGCACGTGAAAATGGGAATAGGAGTCCCAAATCAAGCAGAGCAATAAAAAGTGTGTCAGGTGCAATATATGCTGAGTATGTAAATAGAAGCAAGGCAGTTTGGACATCTGTATATGACATTAGTGAGACCAGCAGGGACATACTCTGATTTTGGTGTTCTTATCTTTTCAGCATTGAGAAATTACCCAGAAGTTCCCTAAAAGGGTTGGAGGGCTGGAAGAATACTTTGCATGGACAGATAGACAGATAATTGAGTTTACTTCTTTTTTTTTTTTATCAAACTGCCAACATTTTTCCAAATATTGTGTTAAACACAGGATAATGGACTTACTTTGACAGTGGGTTTGTTACTCTTAGGTGACTTTCTGAACAGGACTCTAGGACACAAGTTGGAAATCACTGAATATCTTACTTTTAGGGCAGAGGGTGGCCTTGTCCAGCAGCCTTTGCATCCCTGTGAATTGAAATTCCTGCACATTGCACATCCCTGCTGCATCAAAGTGGGACAAATTGAGGCCAGAGCACTTTCCCCCCATCCAGCCACGTGCCACAAAAGGTCACCCAGTGCTCGTGCATCTGAGAACACTGCAGTTCATTAGCTGTAATTCACTAAAGGATACTTGGGATTCACTAAATGATTATGTGTAATTCACTAAAGGAGATTAATTTGGCCTGGGAACCCGGAGCCAGAAGCTGAGCCCTGGCACTTTCTGACAAATTAGGAATCACACCCAGATTTTTCCAAGGGAATCACTGGCCATGGCCACCAACTGCTGCAGGAGGGTGGGGAGGCCCTGGCACAGGTTGCCCAGAGAAGCTGTGGCTGCCCCTGGATCCCTGGAAGTGTCCAAGGCTGGGTTGGACAGGGCTTGGAGCAGCCTGGGATAGTAGAAGTTGTCCCTGCTCATGGCAGGGGGTGGAACTGGATGATCTTTAAGGTCCCTTCCAACCCAAACCGTTCTGTAATTCTGTGATTCTGTGAAATAGGTGCTGTGTTGCTGGACAGTTTTGAAGCCATCTGGAAGGTCTTGTTTCTGTCAGATGTGAGTTTCTTGGTTCACAGGGCTAGAAGGACGAAAGTTTTGGGTTTCTACATCTGTGACAAATGGGAGACTGAACTGAATAATACATGTTTTAGTATTAAACCTTGAAGAGTCTGTAAAGTAGGAATTTTGAGGAGAGGTAATTCCGGCTGGAGGCTCTGGCTCATTAAATTCCCCAGTTCAACCAAGCACTTGAACACATGAAACTTGATGTTGGCAGATAAATGATTCAGGAAATGGTGACTTTAGAAATACAGGTAAGAAATGCCCAAACCAGGTTTATCTCTTAAGGAAAAGCGAGTCGGCATATCCAGTGAAAACCACCTGAAGCTCAGATGTTTAAAGAGATTTTCTGTTTGAAAATGAGCTGTCACAGGGCCTTGCAGGCTGTGATGAGTCAGTAAGTCAGTGAGTGACACTTCTCCCAAAGCTTGGAGGAGAGGATTGAGCAGCCCTGCCTCCCCCAGAGGCCAAACCTAGAGCAGGGAACACGGTGTCTGCTTCCAAACGCTCCTTGTCAAGCTGGGAACGCCTCAGTCTGAGAGGCCACTTCCAAATTGTAGTTGTTAACAATTCCAGTCAGTTGCTGGTCCCCTCCTGCACTGCCTGCCCTGCCCTCCTCGAGCTGAGCAATCTGGGTGCTTGTCTTTGAAAATTGAAAATGGCCTGAATGTTTCCAGTAATCATTTGTCCAGAGGACAGCACATTCCCGCTGGAGCGAAGCACTTACGTGGATGTGGTCTGTCTGTCTTCTCACACAGTCATTTTCTTGGATGGGAGTCATCCCCTTGCCTTGTCCTCCTGCTCCCTTCTCCCTTGGATGGGAGTCATCCCCCTGCCTTGTCCTCCTGCTTCCTTCTCCCCCAAAACAATGAAAGGGGTTCAGCAGTTGGTTGGTGAGGCCAAAGATGGGATCATCTCCTCATTTCTGTGTTTCCCAGGCTGCCAAAGGCATTTTTTATGGATTTGGTTTGTAGGACCATGTCTGTACAGTCACACTCAAACTCCAGCTCTGCTCAGCAAGCCAGTTCTCAGTGTTCTTCAGCCCATATTACAACATCTCTAGTCAACCCTGGGTCTCCTGCTGGGAACTTCTTTGTGCCAGTACTAAAATGGACTTGAGGAGTCATCTTGAGAATCCTTGGAGAGGAATAGGCAGCCCTGTCCCTGGAAGGTCCCACAGCCATCATCCCTCTCTTGGTTTTCACGGGGTCCTTGGAATCCTTAGTTGACTTTCCTGAGTGCTCACAGGGATGGTGCATTAGCTCTGTCACATCTCCCGGAGTTTGAGTGATCTCCTCACCCTGCTCTCCTGCAGGAATGGTAATAAACCCTTGACTCATAAGAAGATTCACGAGAAGGATGGAAAATGCCTCGTTCTCCTTGCCAAGTTCTGCCTGCCCTCCATCTGCCATCCCTTCTCCTCAAGATCTAGAGCTCTGAAGGAGGTGATCCTGTAGTTCTGTGCCAGTTGGATCTGTAGTGAGGGGACTCAGGAAAGAAAAGAGATTGAGGGAGCATATTGTGATTTTTCTTTCAGTTCCACTGGCTTTGCAGCAAATGCATGTTCACTGTTCTGGCACCTTGGGAAGTTGAGGAGTTAAAAATGCTTTTGATGAGCCACCACGATGATTGAGTTACATGAGAGGGCTGCCTTTGGAGGGGAAAAGGCTGAAGGCTGACTTCTTTAAATGAAAGCTCAGGAGTAATTGGATGTGCTGCACTTTCCTTGTCAGGGCAGGCGATCCGTGACAGCATTCCAGGTTCAAAAGTTCCCAACTTCAGAAATCCAACTTCAGAAATGGGACTTCAGTCAAATCAACTTGGGTCCTACAGGCCACTAGAATTTCCGTTAGGTGTGTTTTTATCTCCTTTTCTATTCTTTTTTTTTTTTTTTCTCTTTTCAAGGTTGCACCCAAAGTTAGGGCAACTTGAACTCTTTGTAGTTAAGATTTGAAAGAGTCGAAGTTGATAAATCTCAAGTCACAGCTGGTTAAAACTTCTCCAGAAAAACTCCACCGTTGGCCTCGACCAAGCAGTTTTGGAATGTGGGATTTCTGCCTGGTGGGTAAATGGGGAGGGGGGTGTGTGTGCAGAATCTGGTGTGAGATCAACTTGCAGCCTTAATTACTGAGCGACCACTGTCCTGTAGCAGTGGTTTGCCCAAAGCAAAAGGGTACAAGCTGTGGGTGTAGGGAATGCCAGGAGAAGAGGGAGATGCTGTTGGAGCACTCCAAAGAAAATAAGCCCTTTGTGAGCCTGGCATTTCTGGGAGGTCGCCTGCTTGAGGTGGTTTGGAGGTGCACCTTTGTGCTGCCAGTTCTGTCCTGAGCGTGTGTCTCCAAAGCTTTGGACCAGGGGTGATCTTTGGGGCGTGTAAAGTACTCCCCACGTGCCGCAGTTGACCTGAAGCGTTTGGTTTTCTGCTTTCCCCTCCTTTCCAGCCTGCTGGAAACCATGTCTCACTACACGGACGAGCCAAGATTTACCATAGAGCAGATAGACCTTCTGCAGCGCCTGAGACGCACGGGAATGACCAGGCATGAGATCCTGCACGCTCTGGAAACCTTGGATCGCCTCGACCAGGAGCACAGTGACAAATTCGGGAGACGCTCTGGCTACGGGGGCGGCTCCTACGGCAACAGCACCAACAACGTGCCGGCCTCCTCCTCCACGGCCACGGCCTCCACGCAGACCCAGCACTGTGGGATGTCCCCCTCGCCCAGCAACAGTTACGACACCTCCCCGCAGCCTTGCACTACCAATCAGAACGGGAGGGAGAGTAACGACAGGTTGTCCGCCTTCAACGGGAAGATGTCGCCCACCCGGTACCCCCTGGCCAACAGCCTGGCCCAGAGGTCCTACAGCTTCGAGGCCTCCGAGGAGGACCTGGACATCGACGACAAGGTGGAGGAGCTGATGAGGTTAGTGGAGGCCTTGTTGTTTGGGGTCTGTAGTCAGACCTAAAGGGAGGATATTGGGATTTTTGGTTTGGTTTTTTTTTTTTTCAGTTCCGTTTCTGGGCTTTGCAGCGAATCCGTGTTCGTTGTTCTGGCGCCTTGGGGAGTTCAGGAGTTAAAAGTGCTTTAGATGAGCCACCATAAAGTTTGGAAGGGGAGAGTGAGAAGTGCCCCAGAGGAGATGTGTGTGTTGGAGGAGCTGTGGTAGCCACAGGGGGTGGGAAAACACTGGCACAGGTCGCCCAGAGAGGTGGTTGGATGCCCCATCCCTGCAAAAATTCAAGGTTGGGTTGGTCTGGACTCTCAGCAGCCTGATCTAACTGAAGGTATCTCTGTTTATTGAAGGCCTTTAAAGGTCTCTTCCAGCCCAAACCACTCCATGGGGATTCAGTGATTATCAGGAGAGCAGGAGCTGCTTCAGAGCTGTTCCTTGCCAGTTCCCCAAGGGTCACTATCCCAGAACCCCTCACCTGCCTCTCAGCCTTGTGTGGGCAGCCCCTGGCCCTGTGTGGTTGAAATATTTTTCCCATGCTGTTCCCAAAAGTGGGATTGATGTTAAAAGCACTAATTTTCCATCCTGCTTTTACTCAGAAGGATTCTGACTGAGTGTCAACTCACATGACTCCTCCTCCACTGCTTCATCCCCGTTGTAATTCCTTCCATACAGAGGGAGAGTCGGGAATCCTACTTGGATTGGTCAGTGCTTTCCAGTGGGATCTGCAGAGGATGGATGTTGCCTGTTTGGAATTTGTGGCAGGGATTTGCACAAGGCTGCAGAGTGGTGTGGGGAAACGCAAACAGTAAAAAAGAACAGAAGTTTTCAGTGAGAGCCAGTTGGTGGATTTTTTCCCCCCCAGCCTGACCTTCCTTTACTTCTGGCAGCATCGTTTTCAGGCAGAGATGAAAGGAGGGGATTAAACTCCTGAGGATCAAAGTTGGAGTCAGTGGGCTTTGAGAGCACAGAAAAGAAAAAATAAGAGGAAAGGCCAAATGTCTCAAAACAATTTTGGTCATAATGTTGGAATATCTCCCCCCCAACAAATTGCAGCATTCCTGAAGTACCTGTGAGAGAACTGGGGTTCATAAGCTCCAGGATGGAGATATGTTTGGAGATTTAGGGTAAAGGTGTGGCTTTTGAGGGGGAAGGTTAGAGATGAGCAGTGAGAAAAGCTGATCACCCTCATTCCCTGCTGGATGATGGAATCCTGCAGGAAGGTGGTGGGTGCAGCAGAGTGCCAGGTTCCCGTGGCTGAGGTTTAATCACCCCATTGAGTTTTGGATTCCTATGCAATAAGTCACAAGTAATGCTTTTAGTGCTTATTTAAACTGAAATGACGTTTATTTGCAGGCATATGGAAGATGAGTGTGGGGAACAGAAATAAAAATGAACCCACAACATGGCACTTATTTTGCATTTAGATTTGCGAGCTCGAGTCTGCCTTGGATGCTGCTGTGAGGGGAGAAGGGAAATGACCAAATAATAAAGCCTAATAAAGGCTGGTTTTAATTGTCTGCCCTTCTCAGGAAGGGAGGGAGGAAGAGAAAGGCACAATACGTGTTTAATGCAGTTGAAATTTGCTGTATATCACAGCCCCTGTGCAACCCCCAAGCTATTTGCTTTTTTAGCACAGTTTTAGCCCCTTCTGAGCTACCTGTGCAGACCATGTAAAAATTATACAAATATCTCAGTTCATTCAGTGCAAAATCAGGACTGAGGGGGTTCAGAGAGGGGGCAGAGGTTGCAAAATCTCTTCTCCTTCTGGTCTTTTCCTTGAGAGGCTGTAGGAGTTTTGGTGTGTGCAAATTCATTTGGGTAACTAACCATGCAGCCCCTGCCATCTTTTTCTTTTTTTTTTTTTTTTTTTTTTTTTTTTTTTTTTTTTTTTTTTTTTTTTTTTGTGTGTGTGTGCCTCATTTTTATGACTGGGGTTTTTATGCTGGCACGGGAGAGATTTATTCATCCCTGTGTAATGAAACTTTGTACATTCCATATGGCAGTGCTGCACCTAATATGAATTATATGGGACATGAGTCATCCATTCTCCCGCTCCTGTGCTCGGATCAAACGTGACACTTGTTAGAAGAAGTGTCCACTGCTGAGGCACTTGGACTGTTTTAATAGCCAGCCTTCCCCCACTCCTCAGCCCCTAAATAAAGGAAATGGAGCCACTCTCCACCTTCACGGTGCACTTGGGCCTGTCCCTCTTTTTGTGTGTGTGCTGTTGTTGTTTTGTTTTGGTAGGAGGGACAGCAGTGTGATAAAGGAGGAAATCAAAGCCTTCCTGGCCAACCGGAGAATCTCCCAAGCAGTTGTTGCACAGGTAACAGGTAAGAGCTCTGGGAGGGGAGGGGGGGGATGGGATGTTCCTTTTCCTTTCTGGGATTTTGGGAAGCTGTGTCTAAACTGCCTCTCAGAGCACGGTGCAGATGTTGGAATATCACTTGGCTTTCTGCATTGCAGTGCAGATCTGTCAGCTTAGTCATGATAATGTATGCCTTTGATTTAAGACCCATTGTCCTGCACATCATGGAACTTCCCCAGTGAATCACTTTTTCCTTTTTTTTTTTTTTTTTTTTTTTTTTTTTTTTTTTTTTTTTTTTTTTTTTTTTTTTTTTTTTTTTTTTTTTTTTCCATTTTGTTTTTCTTTTTTTCCTGTGGCTTGTGTTTGCAGATTTTATTTTGCAGCATTAAAATAAGCCCGAAATTCTTATCTTAAAATGAAAACGGTTTTCCTTAATTCTTAAATTGTTTGTTGAGTGCAGCAAATAGATGCATATCTGCATCTCTGTGTATGGAGAGGGAGAGAGATAATGGGTATTTATATTCTAAAAAGTATATGAATAGTCAGGAGATGCAGCTATAACTGGTATCACTGCACCCAAGATTATGAGCTTCCTTTTCTCCAGGCTGAGCCCCCCCAGCTCCCTCAGCCCCTCTTGCTGCTCCAGCCCCTTCCTCAGCTCCGTTCCCTTCCCTGCACATGCTCCAGCCCCTCAATGCCTCAGGAGAAAAACTTGATAAAATCCAAAAACTCAATCCCATGTTACACCTGTAAGACTTACTAATGTTTTAACCCAAGCTTGGATACAGATCCTGAAATAGGTAATCTTTAAGGTTCCTTGGTGACTGGAAATGCCAAATCAGCAGGAGGGAAGTTGTTCTCTTGTATTTCCAGTATTTGAAATGTCATAAGAACCCATCTGTCTGGCAGCTCTGAATTTGCAGACAGTTGAGATGAGCAGGCAGGAGCAAGTGCTGGAGCCACAGAGCCTGGAATTCCTTCCACATCTCCAACTCTCCTCTGTGATCCTGGGCAAAATTCCTTGTCCTTCCCTGGTTTCAGTTTCATCTGGAAAATCATGAGATTAACCTTTTGTGTAAATGTAAGGGATGTTTTCAGCCTTATCATTGCACCGAGGGGAAAAGCTGCAGGAAAGGAGCCTTTCCAAAGCAAGCCAATATTTTCTTTTGGTCAGTGGGGCCAGTGAATCAGAATCACCACCCCAAAACTAATGTATCAGTGAAAGGAGTGGATCTAATTATAATTAACTAGGTGGGCACATGCCTTTGATACCCCTGGCTCAGGCTGTGAGGAAAGTCAAGCTGGTGGTTTTTCTCCTCCCATGCTGAGCCCTCTCTCTCGGATTTCGGTTGGCATGAGGTTGGCATTCAGCCTTTGGGAGCTCAGATTGTTTCCTCCTGGGAATAAAATGACTCCATCCACTTCAGACATGGCTGACTGAGTTTCACACCCATCCCACTCAACTCGAGGGGAATCCAGGATGGGCTCCCACAGTGATCAGAGAAATACTGTGGGACAGAGCGAGGACTGATCTAATGGCACTGTGTTATTATCCTGTTGTCAGGCCAAATCAGGGGGAAACCAGGTGGATCTTTGCAGTTGATCTGTGTCATCCTCCGTGGGAAGGTTCCAGGAGCTGATTGATTTTAAATAGAACCCGCAGCCCTGTGTAAGCAGATGTGCAGTCCTTGCATATGCCACGATCAAGTGCACAGTTATGGCTTATCTGAAAGAAAAGGCAAGAGATGTTTGAAAGGACCAGATTAAAGAGCGTGCTCAGCACTAACGGGGAGAAACATCAGCTTCCTCTCGAAAGCACAGGGTGGTGAGGAGGGACCAAAATAGCTCAGGACAGACATCCAGAGCACGTGTCCCAGGGCTCTCACTTCCAGAGATTTTTAGGCCTGATGAAGTGCTGGTTGACTTGTGTGCTCTTCAGATGTCTCCAGCATCCCAGAGGCTCCCGAGGAACGCCTGGAAAATGCTTTTGGTTTGTTAAAATAACAGTTTGCTTAGACAGAGGCAGAATATACAATCCCAAGTGGCATCATCTCAGTTTTTACAGGTTTAGTCTTACTGGTAGAGGTGTTCTGTAAATAACTACTTATACAAGAGGACAATAAAAAAATTAGCTTTTAGGCTTCAGCTCTTCTGCCCCAGGAAGGGGCTGGCTCTGAACTCTCTCAGGAGAGTTGTTTGACTTGGCTGCCCCTGCTGCCAACTTTTATCCTTTCACTCTCTACCAGTTTCTTTTCTACTCTAAAAAATTCCTCGTGTGTGTGTTGGGAGGGGATCATGGCATGGGGAGGAGAGAGGAATAGCAGTGCATCTGAACAGTGATATTGGACCTTTAGCTTGGAGCCTAAAACTTGCCTGCCTTGTCTTAATCATGGCTAGGTTTGAACTGGCCAGATTTCCTGCTGTAGCACAAGGGAAGTGATGGAGAGGGAGGATACAGGACAGAGGAACATGGAGCTGCAGGTTGAACTCAGCCGTTGCAGCAGAACAATTTTTTAGGCTTTCTTAGCCCTTATAAAATTACCAGAAACTTTAAAAGTCGTTCAGATAATGAATCTGACTGGAAAAAATGAAACCTGGAAGAGGTTCTCTGGTGTACTAGGAGTAGAGGGCAGGTTGGAAAATAGTAACAGAGTATTTAAACAGTGACTTGAAAATAAAAGGAATGATTGATAAGGAGCAAAACCTTAACATAACACTTATTAGTGCTGGTCCTAAAAACAGGAGCTGCTTTTTATAGAAACTTTTTTAATGGTGTCTGTAATAAGATAAACAAGAAGCACTTGGGTTGGGCTCTGTATAAATAATCTCCTCCTGATAAGAAAAATGACAGTATAAACAGGAGCTAATAATAGTTCCTGCAGAATTTCCTATCTTGGATTTGGAGCTCCTTTTATACCAGGAGCTGCAGCTTTGCTCAGGGTGGGGGCTCAGCCCCACGTGGGGCAGGTGAGGGGATAAATTTTTATCAGCCAGCATTTGAAGTCCTGTGCTGTAATTCGCTTTAATTGCCACCAGAATTGCGTCTGGGCATCCACTGAGGTCTGGGCTGAAGGCAAAGGATAAAAGGAGAAATGTGAACTTGCTAAGAGGTGCTGCCTGAGCTTCCAAATGGGAAGTGGGGGAAACGTTTTCAGGAACTGTCTGGTCTGTGCTACAGTAAAGGAGAGAGGGAGGAGTGTTCAGGGATGAACCCTCTGCAGCTGGGAATAAATACTTTGATGGATGATGCCGCTGCAAGGTTTGGAAATGCCACCTTTCCCATTTTTTTACACACAGGGAGTGAAGGAACCAAAAAAAGAAAAAAAAAACCAAACCCTAATTTTCCCCAGGTTGCAGAGCAGAAATTTGAATTCAGATTTTTAAAGAAAACCCCAACCATTTAAAAAACCAAACCAAAACCCGAAAATAAAAACACAGAGGTCATTTTTTTTTTGGTGGTTGTTTTTAAATACACATAGAGCTTTGCAGGGTGCAGTTCTGCTCCCCTTCCCAATTATCCTGCTGGTACAGGCCAGCCCTGTCCTACTGTCTCTGGGTTGAGATGAGAACTCCAGGAGTTGGCTTTCCATTATGCTAAACACACCCAGCATCCAGTGCAGCCTTGGAGCACTGCTGGAACAAATAAAATCCCTGAAGGTTTGGAACCCACACACAAGGGATGCTGAGCAAATGCAAACACAAAGGGAAACTTCACCGTTTCCTTTGTGAGAATTCAGAAAGTTACTGAGTTACCGATCACCTGAAATGGCATGAAACTGGATTTGGAAAAACATTTTCCTTCCTTTTTTTTTTTTTTTTTTTTTTTTTTTTTTTTTTTTTAAACTCACGACAACACGGGGAAAGCTTTTATTTTTTTCTCCCCCGTGATTTTGATCTTTGCAGGTTTTCTGTAAACAAGCTTTGCTAATCTCCTTAAATTGATAGGTGTCCTTTGCAAGCACTTGTTCTGTGGATGTAGGACTTTGCTTACAAAGTGAAGAATTAAAACACAGGCAGTCACTTTCTTCTCCAGGTCTGACGTGTTCCAGGTGCTTCTAAAAACCTCTCCTGAAAGGAACATGAAAGAAATGCAAAGCAGAGCCTGAACAAATCTGTGAAGGTGAAAAGCAGCTCCCAAAGACTCGCTGAGTAGAAGCTTCGAGGGTTAGGAGGAGATTTGTGCTGCAGATACCAGTTGCCTCCTCTTGATGCTGTGTTTTGCCATTTTTTTTTATGTATCTGAAGGGGAAACTCTTTCCCCCAGACAACTTGTGTAGGAGCCAGCAGGGCTGGCCAGAGGAGTGAGCACGACCTGCCATCTCCGTGGGGTTTATTGCTGGGAAGCACAACCCGCCACGGGAAGGAGTGGTGTGTGGCACAAGAAGTCAGCATTTAAATTGCAGCGTTCCTTTGTGAACACCACCTTTTCTTCAGTGTTTTCTGTGAGAAAACTGGTTGTGCTCACAGCCCTGTGTTGATGGCCCTGCTGCTGCTGAGCCCGGGGGGTGAATGAGGGTCATCCCGGTTCGGTTTGGGAGTGAATTTCCTCAGCACAGCTGGACTTTCAGTACTCCAGAGAACTTACTTCATTAAGCTGCTTTCTGGCAGCAGGATGATTTTTTTATTTTTTCCTTCCATTTCCTAGAGAGGAATGATTACAGACAACGTGCTGGGATGGTCCTAGTGGCAGTACCTGGCCCTGGCCCTGAGGCACTTGAGATGCAAGAAAGTCTGACGTGACAGTTTTTGGGGGGAGGTTGTTTTTTGAATTGAAAAGAGTGAAGGATGGATTTGGATTAGGGGATCTAGGAGATCCTGGATCATTTCTGCTACGGACTTTGCACGTGACCTTGATCAGTCAAGCTGCTGAAATGCAGTTTTTGGGCCTGTGAACCGAGCTGGGGTGCAGATAAGTTTTACGTCTCAAGCACATTTTGCAGAAGCAGCTTTGTGAGCTGTGAGGACTCGCAGTGAGTCAAAGGACCAGCTGCTGTGGCTAAATGACACCAGTTACTTTGCCACCAAAGGATTCCAGCTCTGTTCTGGAGGACTTGGGTGCAGTTCAGCGCGTTGTGACAGTTCAGAGTTGGTGCTAAAAGTTGAAAAGACAGAGAAAGGCATCAACCTGTTGGAGCAAGTCCAGAGGAAGGGCCACGGAGAGGATTAGAAGGATGGAGCAGCTCTCCTGTGAGAACAGGATGAAGGGATTGGGGTTGTTCAGCCTGGAGAAGACAAGGCTCTGGGGAGACCTTCTTGTGGCTTGGAAGAAGGATGGGGGCAAACTCAGCAGGGCCTTTTATGACAGAGGGTAATGTTTTTAAACTGAAGGAGGGTCAGTTTAGATGAGATGGAATAAAGAAGCTTTTTTACAGTGAGAATGGTAGAACCCTGGCACAGGTTGCCCAGAAAGTTGGTGGATGCCCCATCCTTGGAGGCATTCAGGGTCAGGTTGTATGGGGCTCTGGACAACCTGACCTAGTTGAAGGTGCCCCTGCTCATTGCAGGGGGTGTTGGACTTGATGACCTTTAAAGGTCCTTTCCAAGCCAAATTTTTCTGTGATTCTGTAGAAGTGGACATGGCAACACCCAACTTGAGTCTTCTGGCTCCCACGTGGTTCTGGAGTGGTCGCATCTGTAGCACGTCGTGACGGTGTCAGGCAGCCTCGTGAGCAGAATTCCGATTTCCCGCTTGCTGAGGACATCTAAGCTCTATTTATTATTTTAATCTAACGGTGCTCTGTGTTTATATCTTAGTTTGTTATCCAAACACTCAGCACACACTTAATTCACCGCAGCAAGTGGACCGTAGTAAACAAGTCAATGCGTGGTGCTGTTGCCCAGTGATCGATGGGAGCTGGGCAGCCAAACCTTCGTTTGCCACAGCGCTGTGTTCAAAAAAATGGCTTTTATAAATCGTAAGAGTAGGTCAAGAGCTGCAGATTTTCGAAACTTGGTCCTCTCACTGGTGATCAAGCATCTAGATGGCATGATTTCAACTAGACTGAAGCCTTGCTCTGGCCCAGAAGATATCATCAACTTACATTGGCTTCTTTTGGTATTAACTTGTAGCTTCCACTGTTACTTGATGTAAACTTGGCAGGATCTGAGGTTTCTGTTTGGTTGAATAATTCCGCTTCCCTTGTAATATAAACTCAATTTTAGATCCCAGTGTGGGCCCTGGGGGTAGGCAGCTCTTGGCTGCCCCAGCTGTTCCTGAACTCTTTCAGCTGTGGGCAGGGCAGTTCTCTGGGAATGGGTTTTAAGAAAATCAGAGTCTGTTTTGTGGGCCCAGCTCTGATGAACAGCAGTCAACTTCTGCCTCCGAAACAAAACACTCCTATCCCTTTTCCCCAGGATAATTAAAACTTCATAGCCTCCAGGGTTCTGTTCAAAAGGAAGAACAATTAAGAGCATTAACCCCGTTTAAAAGTCTGGTTGGAGTAAACCCACCTGAATATGGTACCTGAGAGCCAAGTTGAGACATTCTGAAGTTAACTACCTTCGTGTTCAACACACGAAAAAAAAGCACAGTAAAACCCCCAGATTGGAAGTGGTAAAACTACAGGGGGTTGTTTTTCAGGAGTTAAATATGATTATGAGATCTTAAAAAACCCTTGATGCATCTCAGGAGGGAAGAGGGAGTTTGGTTTCTGTGTGAGAACCAGCCTCTACCTGCCTGGGCATTATCACCAAGCAGGTGGTGGCACAGGTGGTGCTGGCAGTATATTGTTACTTGGAGCACCTTCTAAAACTTCAGTTCTCAGGGGAGTCGAGATGTTGTTAACCCTTCCTGGTGGCTGAAGAGCCTTGTGGAGAGCACAGGGAGTTGTTCTGCCTGAAGTTCTGCTGCAGTTATTCAGCAAACTGTACATTTGTTGCTGTTGCCAGGTGAACCTACAGTTCACCTCCTGGTGGGCTTTTAAACCTCTTGTTTTGTTCAGCTCCTCTCCTTTTTGCCCATTCTGCATTGATCCTCATTCACTGTCAGGCTTTGGAAAAATAACTGTATTAACTTCTAGGATTTCCCCCCCCCCCTTTTTTACTGTTTTCTTAGAAATCTCGCTGTAAAACCTGGAATGTTTTGTCTCTGATCATTCCTGGATACCTGGAGCTTGACCCCTGCTTTGCTGGCAGACAGCTGCCCTTCCTGGGTTGTTTTCTGTCCCTCGTTCCAGCTGCTGAAACAGTTGGTTTGCTCCGTTTCTGGGCTGATTTGATCTGCATCACCCAAACTGTTTCTGTGTTTATCTCCTCGTTCAAGCACTGAGTGATAACGATCTCCTGACTATCATTATTTATGTGTAATAGTGGGGAAGGGACTTGTTCCCATTCCACAGATGAAGAAGTTTAAGAATGGGGGGGAAGTTGAGGATGATTAGAGTGAGTGGTAGGTTTGGCTTCCCACTTTGCCCCCTTTTTGCCTGTGGGTGGATTGGGCAGATTGCAGGATGTCCCTCGAGTAAGGATGAGCAAAACACCAGGGAGAAGTCAAGGCATTTTGGGACAGAGCAGGGAGGTTTCAACTTTTCCTGGGATTGAAGCACTGCAGTTTCCTGGGCTTTGTGAGACAGCACCTTCTATCAGTATAAAACCCACTTAAAAATGTTTGATAAATAACAAGTTTTTCTCTTTCTCCTTTTCTTGTGTTTTGTTCTGGTTTTTCCAGGGATCAGTCAGAGTCGGATCTCCCATTGGCTGTTGCAGCAGGGGTCGGACCTGAGTGAACAGAAGAAAAGGGCATTTTACAGATGGTACCAGCTTGAGAAGACAAATCCTGGTAAACAAATACAGCCTAAACGTCTCCTGCTGTTTATTTATGGAATGGAAACCTTTTGTCACTGTTATATCACTGATAATTCACTCCTTGTCCGAGGTCCTCCAGAGGTTCTTCCTCAGACCAGTTTAATTTTTGGGAGGGTGGGAACTAAACTGCACTTCACTTTTCAGCAAGTGATCCAGAGCTGACTCATCCAGATCTGTCTCATCCATAGCTGTCTGTCCAGCTCCTCAGTCGGGGATACTTGCCCTGGCCTCTCACCACTAACTAAATCTGGGAATCAGAAGCAGTCAGTGGAGTTACAGTCAGTTAATTAATGAAATACCTGCTGAGGCTCTTCAGAAGGAACAATTAGAAAACATTAATAATGGCTGCATAATACAAAGTCGTAGCAAAAAAAAAAAAAAATCCACAGTTTGGCAGAGAGGATCTTTGGGATAACTTCAGAGGGTTTTGGGTTGGATCTCTGAGCTCCTGGATGGGATGTTGATAGTTCCAGTGATAAACTGGAGATGTGTCTTTCAAATCCCACCTGCCTCTCCAAATCTCAAAATAGATCTTGAATATAAAAGGAGAAGTAAAGCTCCTCATTATCTTTAACTAACCAGCAATCTTCAGCATCACAGTTGAATTAATTTCCTCGCATTGTTCTTCTCCCCAGATTTTGTTTGACCACAATTCTCTTTTTTTTTTCCCCTTTAGCAGTTTTATTGTGAAGATCAAAATATTTACGTTTAATTTCCATTAAACAATGGCCTGATTAAATTAACTGTGTAATTGTTTTAAGGAATTTAAAACTCAGGCTCTCTAATGTGAGCTTGGCTTCAATACCCAGACTTCTATTAAGAAAAATTCCAGTGAAAACAGAGTCTCAAAACCCCTGCTTTGTGTGTGAGCCGAAAATCAAGAGGCTCCAGCTGCCAGTTGGCCTGGGAAGGCTTCAGACTTAAGTTGGGCGGGTTCAAAGTGACAGCTGAGCCTGTTTCTTCTGTTAAGCATCTGGAAATTTGTTTTAAGGAATGAAAGTGCCAAGGAGCCCTGATTTCTGCACTGGCTGGAGTTGTGGTGCTCGGGATCAGCAAAGTTCCTGGGTACAACCATCCAGGACCAGCTCCTTGGAAAGGCTGGGATTGTGCCCCCCAAAGTGACTCCCTTTGATGGAAGGTGTTGCCTCCAAAGTCGTGGAGAAACTTAGAGGGTTTTGTAAGGTGTTTTTTTGGGGAAAATCCCCACAAAAGTCCTCTCCAGGTGTGGATCTTCCCTGTCACTCCGTATGTTTTTCTTACCACTGTCATGTGAAGCTGTTTAAGAAATCACATTCTGGGCTGGGATAAGAGAAATCTTGTCCAATTTAGCCCTAAAATCTTTATTTCTAAACCTTCTTTCTTTCCTCATATCCACCAGCTCCCATCTCCTTTGTCCTTTTGCTCTTGAGAAGTGTCTCAAGGAAGGAAGGCTTTGAACACTGAAGGATGTGGCTTAAACTGAAACGAGTCCACGTGAACCTCTGCTTTTCTTTACACACACGTGGAAAACCTCCTGGAAGGGGAGGGGTTGTTTGAGTGTAGCCTTTTTCCCAGTAAGAAATCTTAAACAGCATTTTCAAGAAGTGCAAAAGGCAAATTGTTTCCTCTGCCTAAGCAAAGGGGCTATTTGGATGCACTTAAATTCCTTTTAGGAGCAGATAACATTTTGGTTTCTTTTAAGACACTGAGGTAAAGGGGCGAACCTTCAGCTTTCCAGCAGCTGTGGGGAAAGTCTGCTTGAGGAAAATGGGGTTGTATTTATTTATTTATTGTAGGATCATCCACTGCTTTGAATTATTGCCATCTGCTATATTGCAGGTCAGGCCAGGTAGCCAGGAGATCATTTACGTGGCTATGAACAAGTGTGTTCTGGAAGAATCCTGGATTTAAATCACTGTTAAAAAAACAATGTAGAGCCAAAGTTTTGGATCCTACTTGCAGTGTCCTGTGATTAGTAGACAAACTGCTGCCTCCTCTAGAGCCAGAAAATGAGGAAATCAGTGGAACTTCCTGCTGTGTTCCCAAAGAAGTGATGCCATCACTGCACTCTCTGTAGAATATGAAAGATTGCCCTCCTTGGAGGAAACCTGAGAGATTAAATGACTGGCACGTGCTTTTTTCTATTTGCTAAGCAGTGGCATTTGGCTTTCTGTTCTCAGAATTCCCAGCTTTTCTAGTTTCAGCTGCTGGGAACAAAACCTCAGTCCTTTGAGTGACAGAGTCAGGTCTCTGTGCAGAACCACCTGCACGTTTGAGTTACCAGTGGGCAAAGCGAGGTCTTTGGGAACTAATTAGTTCCCCAGTTTCTTTAATTCCTTGTCTTGCAAAGCTGGATCCTCCGAGTAAGTCCAGACTGAATTTGTGTAATGGAAAAAAAACCCTTTCACTTAAAATTGAAACAGTTTTGAAGGACTAGGACAGCAGATAAAAATCGATTTATATAACTGGGAAGGAGGAACAATTGTTTTGTGTGGAAAGGGCTGGAGATCTCTTGGCAGACCTGGAGCCTTCCCTTGGCTCTGCCAGTTTTTTTGGTACAATTTGTAGAATTCACCGTTTTTTACCCCACTTTCCCATCTCCTCAACAAAGGTGAGCCCACTCCCTGAGTGTGACACCCCTGCTTTGCCTCGCAGCAGGGCCTGTCTTTTACTGTGCTTGTATAAACAAAAGATAACTTATAAATACATAAAAAGAGATTTTATTTCCCTTTTTTTTTTTTTTTTTTTCCAAATGTAGAATGGTGCTATATAGTGCTTTAAATCATCCACAGTCTGCCCACCAAAGAATTTCTTGCCGGGGAGCCTTAAGGCAGTTTCAGGTCACTGCTGCTGTTCAGATGTTGCTCCTGTATGGAAGGAGACTCAGCAATTCCATCATTTCCATTCTTTCCCAGCTTTCTCTGGCCTCTTGAATGTGCTGTTTGTTCCTTGCTTGGGTTTGGTCGCTGGTTTGCATGGGCAGTGTCTGTGTTTCTCCTGTCTCTGGTGGTGGGTGTTCAGACAGGAGCAGACTGGAACGTTGCAAGGCAGACTGAAATCTCATGGACTGGGGGAAAAAAAAACCCACCCACTTTTCCTACTGTTTGCAATAATCTTGCTCAAAAATGTCTTAATCAACGTTTTCCTGGTAGGAGTGGTGCCGGAGTTAATGGCAATGCCGTGAATTCCAGTGCACTGCTGGTTGTAAATTTTTTCTGGGAGGAGTTGCCAGTTAGGGTGAAAGGCAGTTTTTTTGTTGAAGGGGAGAAGTCAATGCTAAATGCAGGTGTTTGAGAGGTCTTTAATCCAATTAATAGGGGTGCTTTTCATTGAGATGGAGCTTTTTTTCAGGCAGGCACCACTTGTCCTGTGTTTTGTGGAGGACTGAGAGCATTTTGGCAATACATAAATAGTATGTATTTCAGAAGCCAGTATATGACTGCAGAGAGCCCTGCAATGTTCTGACTGTTTTGTTGTTTGTTTTTTTTTCAGAGCCCATGGGTTTTAAATAAATAAATATTTCTTTTTAGACTGGTAGTTGTTACCCTGATTAGTTTGCCTGGCACTGTGTCTTGGACAATGAGGGAAGTTTGTTATGGAGTCACTTGTCTCTTGCCCCTTGTAGTGCAAAGTGAAGCTGGCACCTAGAAATGATGTGGTTAAAGTCACAGAAGGGTGCAGGCTGCTTCCATTTAGGCTGGCTATTTGTTTTCTGCCAGTCTTCTGTAGCAGGAAGGCAGCTGTGGTCACCTTGGGGAGAAGCCTGTGCTCCTGCTCCTGGAACAGAAGGGAAGAAGAGAGGTTGTTATTATCAAGGTGTAGCATCTCTTGTGTTATTCCCACAGCAATTCTTATTGAGCTCCAAAAGAAAAGCCAACCCAAAATCAGGGGCTGGGTGTCCCAGGTGGTTTGCACTGGGAATGGATGGTTGGTGATGTGCTGTGTCCCAGAGCTTGCAGAGCAAACTTTTCCTGCTCTGATCCTTTTCATCCAAGGCGGGAGCTCTGGGGGGAACCTTTTGCCGCTGATCCAAACCTACCCCGGCTCGGGAGGAACTGAGAGGTGTTTATTGTGTGATCTGGGGTCAGCCTGGCTAAAAACACAGTGGAACATCTGCTCTTATCAGTGCAGTGGAAGGGAGGTACTTGCTGCAAAGGCTTGCCAGGAAATGGTTCCTTGGAGCTGGGAGATGCCTGAGGGTCCCAGTTACCATCCTGGGCATCGTCCCTGTGGTCCCTGCATGTGATGCTCTTACAGCATCTTCCTTTCTTCAGGATACTGTCTGGGAGGTGCCAAGAGAAGGCAGGCCTTCTCCACGAGGAATTCTGAATATGGAGAGAGCAGCATTCCAGTTGGGAAGCACCAATCTTGCCTCCTCTCCCCAAAAACCCACCCGTGGGATCCTCGAAGTCTTACCCTGCATTTGAGGGAATTCAGGTTGGCACAGAGAAAACCCAGCGCTGCAGGGAAAGGTGCTCAGCACCGGCAGGGAGTGAGAGATGCCACTTTTCCTTTCCCTCTGTGAAGGCAGTTCTTCCCAGACAGTTCACCTCTACACCCCTGAGAGGTTTCTGGTTGTTTGATGCATACCCTGAGATGAAAATCTCATGCTGCATTTTCTCCACTCTCTCTGCTCAGGAGAGAAGTTTCGCTTCTTCTTTAAAGCTGCTTGAGGGGTTTATAAAAAGATTCTGAACTGGGGACTGGGATGTAACTTAGTAAGTTATAAAGAAGTGGAGCTGGGTGGTGAGAAGGTTCCTTCCCAGTCTCCCATCTCTCCCTGCCCTCTGGCAGTGGGAAGCCATTCCCTGTGTCCTGTCCCTCCATCTCTTGTCCCCTGTCCCTCTCCAGCTCTGGAAGGGGCTCCAAGCTCTCCCTGGATCCTTCTCCAGGTGAACCCCCCCAGCTCTCCCAGCCTGGCTCCAGGGCACAGGGGCTCCAGCCCTTGGAGCATCCCATGTCCACTCTTTCCACACGTACATCCAAGCCCATTTTGGGTCTCTTTGTGCATTCAGATCCTTCCCTCTCTGTTTGTGGTACTTGCTTGTAATTCTCAGCATATTTCTCTCTTATCTGCTGCTGCTATTGATGTTACCCCATAGAAAAGAGAAATAGGTAAATTGATCTAGCAGGGCTACTAAAACAAAAAAAAAGTATGCTATATTCGGTATGTGAACATATCAGTAGCAGCAGCAGCAGCAAATTTATGCTTTCAATGCAGATTTTTTTTCCAACCTCTGTCTGAAAAAATCTCAGAAATATTTAATGGAAGGACTTACCTTGATGCTGGGCATCACTGATTTTCCTGTACTCTCCCTGTGAAATAAAACCTTCAGGTAGGGAAAGTATATTGCTAAGGTAAGGCAGGGAAAGAGAATTTCTTTTCCTGTTCTTCCCTGTCTCTTTTTAAAACTTTTATTTATTTTTAAGGGGGGAGGTTTTGGGGGTTTTTTGGGTTTTTTTTTCAATTTTTGAAGTGTTTTTAAAGCCTGGAAACTTGACACCCACCCAGCTCCCCTAAAGTGTGCAAGGACTAGAAAGGACAAGATAAGGAGCTTTCCTTGAAATGGCCTCCCGGTAAATTGGCACTGCAGGAAATATTTCATGTTTCAGTAAAACCCAAGTAACCTGCGTGGGCTCGTTAGCTGGGAATTAGTGAGAGGCACCCTATGTGTTGCGTGTGCAAGGCCGAGATTGTGGGGCTCCACTTCCTGCAGGCTCCTCCTGGGTAACATTTGTAAATTGTTTGGGGCTCCGCTACCTGCCACAGACGTCGCGAGGAAAACACTCCGAGTGCATTTCTGGGAGGGAGCACAGCCAAGTGCCTCAATAGCTCATTTCTTGCTTTTAGCTGGAGGAATTTGTTTATTGGTTAAACTCTCAAGTTCCCCTGACCCTTTTACCCCGTGGTGTGTTCGAGGAGCAGTGTTGTTTCATCACCACGGTGGGTTTGGATGATTAAATCCCAACCCAGAGGGATTTGCTGTCGCAGCCCTGCTCTGTCTGTGTGTGTGTGCACACACAGTCCTGGCAGCTGAGCTGCTCCTCCTGGATCTGCCCAGCACAGGAATTCCACTGGAGCTCAGAGTGTTTGTGGGATATAGGTGGGGATTTATCTTTTCACACAGCTTTTTGTTGTTTGGTTTTTTTTTTTGCACACGAGAGCTGTTTCCCTCCCTGTGGGGGAAGTCACTGAGCACAAAGCTGTCCTTCAGAACGTGCCCTGCTTTCCGTCCTCGTGTCCTGTACCAGGTTCCCGTCCTCACCAGGGGATGGAGGAAAGATCGATCTCCCAGCCTGGGCCTTGATTTATCTTGATTTATTAACTGAGAGGCTCTTGTGGAAAGAAATCAGGGGTGAGTTTCAAAGGGGCCTTTCCTGAGGGCATCTTGCCAAGTCCTGTCTCGTGCTTGATGCTTTCCAGCTCAGAGCTATTGAAAGGAGAAATACATCCATAGAAGGGGAGCAGAAGAGGAAAGTTGTGGGGTTAATCTGCTTTCAGTGACTTTTCCTGGCCCCCTGGCAGCCATGAGCCCATGTCTGCACAGGTTGGTGGTGGAGCTGCTTCAAGTGTTCACTCGGCTCTTTGGACACACTGAAATACCTTTGGTGTAAATTTACCATTTTGTTTCCTGACACTGCTGTTAAAATTAAACAGAACTTGCTGTTTCCCATGTTTTGACAGACCAGGTGGCAGCACAGCCCAAATAAATCCCAGCTGGGGCACAGCTCACCCCTTCTGTACAACCCTTTTCCTCTTGATGAAGACAGGACAGCTCTTCCTAAGTACCTGTCAGCTCAGTTATGTCTCTTTAGACTTCCATGATCACCTGATACTTCTCTGGCTTGGAGGCTGGGGATGGCAACCCTTTGTGCATGTTTAAGATGTCTCTGTTTGACACTGCTTTACTTTTTTAGTTCAAATGGTTTCACATCTGTCCTGTCTTTTTTTTTTTTTTTTTCCCACGAGCAGGAGTGAGAGGATGGGCATGACTTTTAACCCCCTAAAAACCCACAATATTTATTATTCTTAGGGGCCACACTAAGCATGAGACCAGCTCCTATCCCAGTAGAAGAGCCAGAATGGAGACAGACGCCTCCCCCAGTCACAGCTACCTCTGGGACCTTCAGACTACGGCGAGGCAGTCGGTTCACGTGGAGAAAGGAGTGCCTGGCAGTCATGGAAAGGTAGGGCACTCTGGGGGTTTGGAGGTGGAGGTGTTTTAAAGCCAACTCAAGTGTCCTTTTGCCTGCTCTGATGAACACCAGCGTTGTTTCCATGGGTGTGTTTTACCGTTTTACCTCTTGTGTTGTTTGTAAATTAGAAACGTGGCACTGCTCTGGAGAATCCCCCAGGATATCATGACTTTAGCCAGTATTGGTGTTCAGCTCTTCCTTTGCTTTTGCAGAAACCTTTCCATTTAGCCTCATCCAGGCTGTCTTGGTGGGGGTCTGCACTGTCTTTACACTTTTCCTGATTTCCCCTCGTCGTGTATCCTGATATTCTGTAGTTGGTACCGGCATTTCCGCAGCGCTGTAATTGCTCAGGATGCAGAACTTTGCCTAACAAAGCAGTAGATTCCTTGTCCAAAAAGGCTCTTAACAACCCTTTTGCATGAGCTGGGAGCAGCACGGAGCAAAGTGGATCTTTCAAATACATCTGCAGAGTGGGAGGTGATCATTAGAGCTCCCATCTCTCCGGTCCTGTGGAGATGGAGCACTCCGAGCCTGGGCGTGCTTTGCCTTTCCCTCCGCTCGCAGGAATGTCTCTTTTGTGGATAATGTTGTGTAACAGAAAAGGGCCAGTGAACTCAGATGTAGTTTGGGGATGAATGCTTGTTTCTGTTCAGGGCTAAATGGCTGGGAAGAGTTTTCTCCCCTCTGAGAGCAGGAGGCGCTTCCTTTCCGTGGAAGCACCGTGTGTGTGTGTGCTGCACTCCTCTGCTTTGCAATACCAGTGAGATCTCAGCCAGCAGATCTGTAGGATGTGCTTTTACAACTTCTATAATGCTCCTCTTCCCTCCTGCTTGCACAAGGGCCTTGGGAACTGATTAGGAGCAGGAGCTGAGGCTGAGCTAAGACTGAAATCCTGAGCTCCCTCGGGAGCACAAGACAAGACACATTTGTGTGTGGCCACGGGCCATCACGGGGTCTTTGCAGGACTGGAACCAGTAACTAAGTGTTTGTTTCCCTGTTCTGGCCTGGCACTGCATTGATATTTTCAGCCTAGACCGAGTGTTTCCCCAAAGGAAATAATGTTTGAAATCTGTTCTGCTTTGCTGGACTAAACTAAAGTCCTGGGATCTGATTGTACAGGACTGTGTTTTTCTGGTGTCCCCCTCCACAGAGGCAGTACAGGATCTTCAGCACTTCAAAATGCCTGTATGACTGTCCTGATGTGTGGAATGACAAAACCACCACAGCCCTGTGTGCCTTAAGGGCAGCACCGTCTCCTGATGAACCCTCTGTGTGTGAAATAGTTACTCTACTGAAGTAGAATTAGAGCTCTTTGGACGTGGCTGTTTTCATGTTTTGATTTCTGCCTGGCCTGAAGTGCAATAACTGCTGTTGTTTGAATCCTGGTTGTGCCTCAGACTCCTCTGTGGAGAAACACAGAGCAGAGAGGGAGCTGAGCAAACCAGCACTACCCTTTCCTCCTCCACATCTCTCCTCAAGCCTGCTGAGAAACTCTCAGAGGAACCTGTGGTGGTTTGATGTGTCTGTTAGAAAGGTGTGAGATTTGGGTTTGGTTATGGAAAGAAGCAGATCAGTGCCTGGCACTGGAAATCACCCAGTTGTGAATGCAGATACATAATCACTCGACCTTAGTTTTTCATTAACTTCTTCTCTTCTTTGTCCTCCTTGGTTTTGTTCTCTGTGTCTTGTGCCCTGAGAGGTCTTTGCTGCTGGGGTTTTCCTCTTACTCTGCTGCTGCCACATTGCCTTAATCCTGGTTTTAATATTAATTTGCCAAGCCCTGGGTAGGTCACCGCGAGCGCTGAGTTTCACAGCCTTTGTGTGGGGTAGTGGAAATCAGGGCTGAGGGGGTTTCATTCGAGGCAGGACCACACTAAAAGTGTTGCATGGCAATAAAACTGCACCGTAAAGCCCAGCTGGGAATACGGTTGTTAAACTGTTGTGCTTTAGTAGGCCTAGTTGAGCTGGAGGGATGAGCTGTTTTATGTGACAGGTTCTGAAAGAGTGGGAGAAAAATGCTCTTCTGGGAGCCCCAGGAAGAAAGGAGCTGATTTCACTTACAAGTCACTGGAGTCTGCCAGGCTTGTCCATAATGTGACTCATAACAGCAGCAGGATGGAGGTAACCAGATTGCTGGCTGGCTGGCCCAGGGGGTCAGGTTCCCTCCATGCCATAGTGTCAGGAACAAGCATTTGGCCACTAGAATGGTGGTTGGCATTGCCTGTGGGCTGGTGCTGTTTGTTTGCTAATTTGCATTTTCCTCCCAGGGATTAAATTTTGACTGTGAATGGAGGCATCTCACTTTAAGGAGCAGTTTTGCTCCAGTAAATGCAGGTTTCACTGTGTTGTGTTTGCATGTCCTGCAGCTGCTTGATGTGATGTTGGTGCACGCAGGGGTTTGGGCACCTTTGGTTGATAATTATCCAGCAAGGAGGAGCAGCGATGCGGGAGATAATTCCATCCCACTGATGCAACTCATATGGGGGTTGTAAGCACCTCCCTTTCTGGTTGCCTTCTGCACCTAGAACTGACTTTGGTCATTTAGTTTAAAGCCTGAAGATTAGAGGGTTTGAATCTAAATCTTACTGGAAACTCTTGTGTAGGTAATGCAGAACTTCCTTCTGAGTGTTGCTGGAATGCTGTGTAAACAACTTTAGGATGAGGATGGGGGCATTGACCTGCCTCCATTAATTAGTTAATTGTGTACTTTTGAGTTGTATTCAGCTGGTGAGAACTGCCATCACTAAAAGTGGATGTGTCCAACCAGCTGAAAGCACTTCAGGGGAAGGTCCTGAATTTTATGGCAAAAATTAGAGGGTTTTGCCTCCTGGAGCCCTGAAAATGCACAGCACCAGTCAGGATTTGGCCCATGAGCTCAGTGGGAAGGGTGAGGGTTGAAGGGCTCGCTTCTCTTTTTTTATAAAAGACTGAAATCAACAAAAAATTCCAGTGCAATTAATTATTATATTGGTGCCAACCTGATAGGATTAAGATTAGAGTTAGGGCCATATACGTAGATGTCTGATGTACCTAAGTGTCTGTGTACAGGGGATGTGTATTAAAGAAACTAATTGGTTTATACTGGATTTCCAGAATGCTGCTTGTGGTTTCTGTAATTCGATTCCCCAGTCTTCCCTGCTTTTTTGGAATCCTCCCAGGGTAGTTTATTTGTCTCTGGGCTTAGATTTCGGACGATGGATTTGGGTCTCTTTCTCCCTTTATTTATTATTTTTTTAAAAAAAAAACCCCACAACCGTCTCTCTCAATATTTATGCTGTGAAGGTTAAGAGGAGCGGCAGTTGCAGAAAGTAAAGCTCTATATTTAACTGCAGACTAGGTGTGGTTCAGACAACTGCAGTGCAAAGCTGCCTCTCCCTCTGCTGTGCTACTGATACCAACCTTGACCTGTTCCCTCCTGGAGCCTCCTGCCCGTGGAAGATGCTGAGTTTTGAGCGTGTCGGTGCTGTCGTGTGGCTTTGCCCTCCTTTGGGAACAGAGCTAAGCCTGCCAGAGTCCTTTCTGTGCAAACCTCAGGTTAAACTTGAAAGCCTGTTTCTGCTTCACTTTCCTGCTCTTCTTCTGGTTGCGTCTTGTCCCACAGATAATTTTTATTTTTTCTTTTTCTCTGCTTTACCTCTGCTTTTCAACCCTTCTCATTAGAACTACGAAATAAAAAATTCCCTCAGGGTTTTCTCTTTTTTTTTTTTTTTTAAACTGTCTTGTCGTTTTATTTTCTTTATTATTATTTTTTCCCCAAGTCATTTGTGCTTCTCCTCTAATCATGTGTTGGAGTTGAGGTTTATCTTCTTTTTCAGGCAAAAAGGAATAACTGAGATTGGCAGCAGAATCAGTGACTTTATACCCGTTTTAAGGCACTTTTGTCAAGTGCCATTAAAGACTGAGGGGGGTGGGGGTTGAGTGTTGTTTTTTAAGTGTACACTTTATCCAAAGATTAAATTAAAATAACTGTAAATTCTGCCCTAAACAAAAATGAATAATTCATCAGCTGAACGTATTTCAGTTTGTCTGGGGAGCAGAGACTTTGCTTTCTGGTTGAGGGTTATTTGGTTTGATTTTTTTATTTTTATTTTTATTTTAACACTTGTCTGTGCTTGTGAAGCTCCTTTTGTAAAGGTGTATTTAGATTAAATAAGACTAAGATGATATAGATACCCATTATCCCCCATTTCATAGGTGGCAAAACAGAGTCAGGTGTTTCACTTGGCTTTATTCCCGAGAGAAATGGGTTTAGATTTCCCAAGATAGGAGGGTATAGTTTCATGCTATAGCTGAGCTGAATTAACAGTTTGTCACCAGCTCATCCTTAGGTGTTATCCTGCCTCACCACCCTTCTCAATTCCTCCTCCTCCTCCTCAGTTTCCCTGCTCCTGCCACCCTTCTCTGTGCCAGATATGTTTCTTGTCTGATGGAAATAGCAGCCAGTTCAGCCCAGTTCAGGAAAAATAAATCCTTTTTGTTCCCCCACCCCTTCCCTGCATCTTCCTGAATTGGTTCACCTTGCTGTGCAGGGAGGGGGTGCCAGAGCTGTCCCCGGGCCAGAGGTGAAGGATGCACAGCTGGGAGCACAAGGAAGGGGCAGTTTAACAAAAACGTTACAGATATTCCGTGGTGGTTCTTTGATCTGCTTGGTTTTGTTCTGGTTTGGTTTGGTTTGGTTTGAGTTGGGGGTGCTCCTGGTTTCTTAAAAGCGTGGCCATACTGGCAGTTGTGCTGGCATCGTGGAAGAGGGTCCTTTGATTTTTCCAAGGAGCAGGAATGTGTTAGTTCCATGAGAGTTCCTTAGAGGGATGGAGCAGCTCTCCTATGGAGACAGGCTGGGAGAGCTGGGGGGGTTCACCTGGAGAAGAGAAGGATCCAGGGAGACCTGAGAGCCCCTTCCAGAGCCTAAAGAGGCTCCAGGAGAGCTGGAGAGGGACTGGGGACAAGGGATGGAGGGACAGGACACAGGGAATGGCTTCCCACTGCCAGAG